GGATGATAAGCCAAAGTCGCTCCCTCCTTACTCCGGCCCTCCTCCCCGTCCTCAAATGCATCATCGCATTCCTCCTGAAGCGACGCATGGCCTGCCAAATGCGCCGGGAGCATACGATCAGTCATGGCGCCCCTACCCACCTTCCTTCGAGCATCATCACGCAGAGCAGCGACGGGCCTCCAATGCCCCTCAACCCTCCCTGCCCTCCCACGTGTATCCTGTCATGCCGAATCGAGAGTTGCCTCAGCTACCTCCCGAAGGGCCGTACGGTCGGCCAAATAGTTTGCCTGGTCCCAGTCACACCCCGACAGAGTCGCATCCGCCGACTTTTCGTCCTATGAATGGAGCTTCGCACGATTCCATCCCCCATTCGACACCCCCGCATCCCGCTCCTCCTCATTCGGCGCCCCCCGAGTTTCGTTCGCGGATGACATATCCCCCTCAAGAACAGAGCAGCAATGGCGATCCTCCCCCTCCCCCTCCAGCTCCACATACGATGCCTCCAGCTCAGTTTCCGACGCCGGTCCCGCATATCTCACATACTCCTGCTCCCTACGAGCCGAATTATTACCAGAATCAAGCTTTTGGTATGCGTCAGCGCAAGGCTGCCCGCGCTCAACAGGTAATGACTGTCTTTTCATGCCGCAGAGAAGAGACTGCGCGCCCTACAGAGGAAATAGACTAACTTGCGTTCTTTCCATGGTCTAAACAGGCCTGCGACCAGTGTAGAGCAAGGAAAGCAAAGTGCGACGAAGGGCGGCCCGCCTGCAGCCACTGCAAGGAGAACAATTTGATATGTGTCTACAAAGAAGTCCCCCCCCACAAGTGCGTGACCTGCCTAAGCTCTGCTCTTCGGTCGGTTGGTTGTCGGATACTGACCCTCGAGCTAGACAGGAAAAGGCCACCCAGCAGATCTTGGACAAGATTCAATATCTGGAAGATAAGCTCGACGAGCGTCTGACGCATTTCCAGACCGTGCAGATGGAACATGGGATGCAACTAAGTCGGATTTCCAATGAGGTCGGGCTGAAAGAGCCTAAACTTTTAGCTGTCAAAGATGCCACCCGATCAATGCCACCGAAGCAGACACTTGATAGATTGCTGAAACCGAGTGCTGCTGATCTTTTGCTTGAGTCGGAACCAAAGAACGGAGAGGGGATCCAGCAGTTGGACCCAAATGACCCCGCTACAGGGCAGAGTTTTGTGGAGCGGGAGGACGGTGAGCTGTCCATTCCCGTGGAACATACAACGGCTGCCCACAAGTTGCTCTCCTGGCCGTCGATTAGGAACCTGCTCTACCCCCGCGAGTACGACGAGGATTATGTGATGCGACTCGAAGAGCAACGTGGCCTGATTCGCGTCTATGGCCGTGGTGAGGGCGACGACGCAAGTGAGGATCGCATGTCGTCAACCCCGTTAACTAGCTCAAATTCCAGCAGTGGATGGGATGACCCTCACAATCACCGAGCATCGCCGAGCAGTCCTTGGACACAGAGTGCTCATCCAAGCGGTTTCCCACAGAAACTTCGAGATAGGGGCGTTGACGAGTTTGGTACTCTGTGGGCCGATCCAGACACCGTCCGTCGCTATCATCACAGTTACCTGGAGCACATACACAAACTTCATCCCTTCCTCGACCAGAGTGACCTGGACAAGAAGATCGAGATGTTCATCAAGTTCCATTGCTTACCGAAGACTTCCGGGTCGATGTCTCCAGGTACTGGGGACATGCCACGAGGTGCGAAAAGAAAAAGGTCATGTGAGACCTTGCAAGGTGCAGCATGCGATTTTCAAACGTCCGCCGGCGTCAGGACAGAAGCGACGGGCCGTCGTATCGAAAAGTCAATCGACAACGCCGTTCTCCTTCTCGTGCTTGCGCTGGGCAGTATCTGCGCAGTGGGACCACCAGTCCCCGGTCCTGTCACTGATGCGCCCCCCGATTTTCGCAAGGAGTGGATCCCTGGCCCGCCCACCCGTAGCATCCTATCGCCCGCTGGATCCGACATGGTTCTTCCAACGCAGGGAAGCTTCTACGCACCGTCAAATCCCCACGCGGTCCCGTCTCCTTCGCCTGTTGACGGTCGGCGAAGTGTCGGAGGGCGGTCAGTGTCGTCCGGCCGCGATGGGCCTGCCAATCGACATCTCAGAAACGTCGATGTCATTCCGGGCTTATCTTATTACGCATATGCCACGCAGATCCTTGGAGGCCTCCAAGGGGCCAATGGCTTGCTTCATGTTCAAGCGGCCTTGCTCGCAGGTCTTTACACCGGCCAACTAGCGCATCCCTTCCAGAGTCATGGGTGGATATACCAAGCGGCCCGCGCTTGTCAAGTGCTCATCCGATCGTAAGCTTCTGTCCGAACCCTCACCATCGAGATGACTTGCTGACTGCAGGACCAGGAAACGCTATGACCAAATGCAGGACGGACCTCTGAAAGACCTCTACGATTTTGCGTATTGGACATGTCTTCAGCTTGAGAGGTATGGTCATGATGGTGTGATTGTCAGATTTAGCCTGCGGGCCAAGCTAACTCGGGATGTAGCGATATCCTTGCAGAACTTGATCTCCCCGCCAGTGGCATTTCTCGCGCAGAGTCACGTATAGGTCTACCAAAGGGACGCTTCACACTTGCTTTGCCAAATGAAATCAGCGCGCCGAGTACCATGATGATGTTTTTCTATTCTGCCCAAATTCACCTCAGGAAAGTCCTTAACCGTGTCCACACCGATCTGTACAAAGTCGAGAGTAAGGCACCCAACACCATGTCACCAGGAAACCCGCTAATTATATCTCTATAGAACAAGGCTCCAACGCCGCAAACTCGGGCAGTGCCACCAATGCCGCTGGTTCTGCGAGCGCTGTCAACGCTGCAATCGCCGCAATCACAGCTAATCCTTCCAACAGTGCTACGACCACGAGCAGCTCGAGCAGCAACCGGTGGACCTCAAATGTGCAGGAAATTCTTAGCATGAATCTCGAACTGTGGCGAAATAGTCTTCCGGAGACCATGAAATGGAAAGACACTGATCCCCCTTCGAAAGACATAAACGTTGCTCGCATGCGGGCCAAATATTACGGCGCACGATACATCATCCACCGTCCTCTTCTATATCATGCTCTGCATTTTGCTGGACTCCCCAATCCGACCTCCGCATCGGTGGACTCACCCGCCGGCTCCGTTCTCTCTGGCTCGAAATCTCAGCAGGTTTCACCTTCATTAACACACAGTCAACGGGCTACGAACATGGCGCGTCTGTCGAGCGATATGGGTATAGCAGTCCATAGCGCCCCTCCTTCCTTTCAAGGCTCGATGGGCACCATTGCATACCGAGATCTACCGCCTAAGCTACGACGAGCCTGCAAAGTATGCATCGACTCTGCAATCCTGAGTACAGAAGCCTTTGATGGGATCGAAGGTCGTCCGATCGTGACAAATATCTTTGGAACTGCTCATGCGCAATTCGGCAATATGCTCGTGCTCTCTGCGACCTACATGTCCTGTCTCTCCGAGCTGGTGGATCGAAATGTGCTCGAAAAACTGCTCAAGCGAACAATACGCTTCCTTTTGCAGAGCCGAAATATCTCCCCTAGTCTTCGAGCCGATGCACGGATCCTCACCGAAATCTATGAGAAGATTTTCGGAGAGCCCGCCACGAGTTTCTCATCCGCCTATAACTAGATTCATACCGCTCCCCCGTCTCGCTGCCTCTTCCTGTGCATTCGAAGGGGGGATTGCCTGAGATCATCACCTCCAGGGTCTTCCCGCGAGTCGCCTGAGAAGATAAACCTCGTCACCCGAACCGGGCTTTTTCCAACCATCAGCTATCGATCTATACCGATCCTTCGAATCTATTTTCATTTCTAGGACATAGTCGACTTGAACCTCTCTTCCTCCCCTCTTTTGTCCATTTTCTTTACTTCGACCCTTGGCCCCCTTGCATATACTGATGCCTAACATGGCACGGTTCATATATAACATACATACGTAGGTGTCTTGCACGGTGGTTCTTTGTTTCATCATCAATCATTCTTGGGCAGGACTTCAAGATCTTGGGTTATGTTTTTGGATTAATTTGTTGCGCATTGGGAACGGATGGGTGGTTACCTGAAATTATTCTGATCATGGCATCATCTAGCCCCGGACCTTTTTTTTTTGTTTGATTTGATACCTTGTTGCTCCTTGTTGTTCAAACGGCGCTGGTTACACCTTACCATCGTGGCTGGGATCGGGTACCTATGGGAGGGATCGTGTCGTTGCATTTTCAGCGAAACAAGGATGATGGTCGCCAACATACCGGGGAACCTGCATTCTTGGACAGATGGACGGCCGAATATTGCATGCGAAATTGCTTGAAGACTAACAGATGTGTCGCCAATGGGGCTGGGTATGGAAGTGATGGTGTCTGTGGCTCTGTTTACCTTTATTTGGTGTCACTGGGTCATTATCTTCATTATAAAAATCCAAGGTAGGACCTGTTTGTCGAATGGCGTACTCTGTTCAACCCAATAAAGACTTGCATTCATGAGCACTTGCCGTGCATGATGCACAACAGGGGGGACAATTGTGTGTCTATAGATGAACCCGGAGAGATTTGTTCCCGCTCGGAGGCTATCCAGGTCCTACTCTTACTACGCATAATTCGACAAGGAGAAAAAGATCCGTGACCCCTGAATTGCACCAATTAATAGCCATCAATTGTAGGACAAAGATTCCATGAACGCTGACTAGCATTAGCATTAGCATGCCATTGGACTGAGCAGCATTGGCGAGGGACCGTGGAGCCGACCTCGGCTGCTTCTGATTGAAGCTTTCCCCGCAGTCTCCCCAAGGACACGACTCCCCTTGAAGCTAAACAATCAACAACACCATCCATGTTCGACCTATATATGCGGATCAAGGATGACCAAAGGGTCCAAGGGGACATGGTTCAGTATAACCTGATTATTGGATGATCTGTACCTTGGAATTGGAAAAAACCACTCGTCTCTGATTTTCACCATGGTGACGCAAAGCAAGTGGCTCTCACGCGAAGGTTGGTCTGATCGCTTCGCATCTCAAATGTCAACTGTTTGTTAGACTGTCGAAGCTCAAGGGATGTATTCTTTGGGAGCTAGGATTCACTGCCGATGTTCTCGGGAAATTGATTCAGAGCACGCTTCTGAGTCCTTGGAAGACGCTCCCTCTCCTGCTGCTGGCCCAGTACACCGCGAAGGGCAACCAAACTGCCCAGGAGCATCCGCGGCTCTTCCAGGTCCTCAGGGTGCTCACCTCCCTCGCCGTCCTCCGTCGTGTCAACTCCTGGCTCAACACCCGAACCCTGAACAATGGCGTCTCGGACCGGTTCTACTGGAACCGCGAGGTGGTCGTGCTGACGGGTGGCAGCAACGGGATAGGCAGACAGATCGCCCAGCTGCTCGGCGACCTCGGCGTCAAGGTCGCCATCCTGGACATCCACTCACCACAGGAGGACCAGAGCCGCCTCCCGCCCACCGTCCGCTTCCATGAATGCGACATCACCTCACCCGCGGCCATCGCGGCCGTTGCCGCCGACATCCGCGCAACCCTAGGCGAGCCCACCGTCCTCATCAACAACGCCGGCATCTGCAGCGGCAAGACCATCCTCGGCAGCACGGAGGCGCAGACCCGCCTCCACTTCGAGGTCAACGCCCTCGCGCACTACTGGCTTGCGCGCGAGTTCCTGCCGCACATGGTCAAACGCGACCACGGCATGGTCGTCACCGTTGCCTCGCAGGCGGCATACATCACCACCCCCAACATGGTCGATTACTCCGCCACCAAGGCCGCGGCGGTTTCGTTCCACGAGGGGCTGGCGGCGGAGCTGGTGACGAGGTACCATGCCCCGCGGGTGCGGACCGTGTTGCTCACGCAGGGATTCACGCAGACGGCGCTCATTGGGCGATTAACCCCGGAGGATACGTGGTTCAATCCGCTGCTGAAGCCCGGGACGGTCGCGGAGGAGTTGGTGAGACAGATCCTCACGGGGAATAGTGGGCATGTTGTCGTGCCGGGTTCTGCGGGCTGGATTGCCCGGAATCTGAGGAGCTTTCCGCCTTGGTTTCAGCATTCGCTGAGGTTGCGGTTGGAGAGGTTGATGCGTGCTGATTAGGAGCTTGGTTACCTGGTTTGACTTGGTTGAGCTTTGGTTTGTGCCAGCACTGTTTGCACTGCTTGTCTTGCCTGATGCTGTCCAGGTCCGCTGTTGTGTTTTTTTAACTGGAGTGAGAATTTAGCAATTAGGGTGCAAATACTGGCTGGATAGGAGTACTTTAGCATTGTACTTTCTATTGAACAAATCTGTGGCCAGGTGGTTGCAGCTATGGTGAGTATGCGACAAATGGACACCTGAGGCAGAATCCACAGTTGTGAATTCAGGTAGCCACAAACATCGAGTGATCCTGAGGATTGTACAGAGTAGGGCAGAGATGAGTGACGCACAGAAGGAATAGGACCAACCATGGCAATCTCCAGTCAGTAATAAATCGACTTATAGTTCTTGATATCTATGCAGTACTCCGTAATATCAGAAAAAAATCATCACCAGCCTTCTGGTTTACGTTAATCTCCTCGTGGTCCTCGTTGCTGCTCGGCACGTGCGGCCAACCAGCCTCCCCAGCCTCACCGCGATTTCGTCGGTCCTCACTCACCTTCGATTCAGTCCTGCGGCCATTCTCTGCCATCTCAGCGGATACACATTCAAGGGCAATTATCGTCCAGTCATCATCTTTGGATGGATTCTAATCATCATCTGCATCAACTCACCTCCCCACATTCTTACTCTCATCATCATTCTGTCTAACTTCATCCTCATCGTTGTTCCTCGATCTCAAATACTCTAAGCTACCTACAGTCTGCAGATCTGAACCGTGCCCTCACGGCCTTAGGCGCTAACCGCCCACTGGATCGCCTTGGCGGCGGATTCTCTGGAGCAACCACCCTTAGCAGCAAAAACCGACCCAGCGCTATCAACCGAGCGGTTCAGGCTGGGGCTGCCGACGAAAAAGAACCACGGTTCAGCTCCTTGTTTACCTTGCGAAAAACAACAATCCGCTAGATATCCGTTCGATAGGTTCTCCTCTCGGGCTGGGCTGAGCGACCTTTTGTTTCCACCCTGTTCATGCCATCGTTCTTTAGCATCACGAGTCACGAATTTGCTTTGGTCACTCGCTGGACTACCTAATGTATCCCCGTTCAATTGATATACATCTTGGATTAATCTAGTGCACCATTACGACGATTATTATTGTTTTTCACACTCCATCTCGACCAGCCACCAGCTCCGCCTTGAACCATCGCAGCATTCCCAGACTCGACATTCCGATTCGCACATGGTCGTCTGAGTCGCAAGGAGCATCGTCTTGATCGCTCTTTTTAACTCACTATGTTCAAGGCCCTGATGGGCGGGGTCCGTTCCTCCGATGCCCGCAGCACAACCTCCAGCTCCAAGAGCAGGAGCCGCCGCCGAACCAACTCCAAGGCTTCTTCGACGGTCAGCCGCAAGTCCTCACGGGGTGACGACCGTGATCGTGGCTTGGGCGATCTGTCGGCCTACCCTTCCTCAGGCAGCCGCAGCAAGCGATACGCTCCCAGCGCAGCGGGCGAGTCTGTCGCTTCGAGCTATGCGACGGCGGATCCGGGCATATCCACTGAGCACGATGCGATTATTGTCGAACGGACACCCAGACGCAGAGATACCGATGAAGAAAGCGGTCGCGATCGATATTCCGATATTCGCGACAGTGATGGGCGAAGTTCTCGCCGACGCGACCGGGACCGATCGCCCAGTCGTGAGCGTGAACGGGCCCGGTCGGAGAGGGACGATCGAGCGCAATTGAAAGATGACGCTGTAGAGTCTCGCGACCGTCGTCGGGAACGATCGCGGACTCAGTCAGGCGATACGTATCTGCCGCCTCTTTCCACATCGATGCCCGCTCAGCCAAATCCGCCCACGATCTATGACCCCCATGTCCAGCAGCAGTTCCCAGGTCAGTTCCCTGCTTTTGTTGCCGAGCCATATCGACCTCCGAACCCTGCCGGCGAAGCGGCCGATTACTATGGCGATCAAGGGCAGTCCGTTGCCGAGCAGCCAGGTGTGCGCCCGCAGCCTCCGTCTGTCATTCCCAACAGCCAGACGCATCTCATGGCTGCGTCGCCTGTCGCCAATCCACCACCGGAGCCGAGCAGCATGGGGCAGGTGGGCGCAGCCGCTGATTACTTTGCAGGCGACGCCGAACTAGAGGGGGACCCAGCGCCTGGACGACCGGATCATCCAACTGCTGGCGCAACGTCCAAGCCTTCCAGGCCATCTAACGTTACATCTGGCATCTCGGGGATGGCTGCTGGAGCTGCTGCTGGAGCTGCTGCCTATGGAGCAGCAAGTAGTTTCCCCATGCCGGCCAGCCCGACATCGCCTCCGGAACCTGTCCCAACGACTGCTCCCTATGCCCCTCCTATGACTTCCAGCACCACCAAACCGCCCCATACCCATGGTGTTGGAGCCACAGTTGGAGCGGCAGCCGCGGGTGCTGCAGCAGGATACATGCTTGGCCACCACCAGCACCATTCGATGTCGAGCACCGACCATCTATCCCAGTACACCATGCAGAATTACGACGAATCTTCTCAGCATGGGTTCGGAAACCCAGGTCCCACAATCAACAATGCACCGGCCAATCCAGCGTGGTACGCTGCTGGAGCAGGAGCAGCCCTACCGTATGCTGCAAGCCCTCTGCATCCCCACCACGCTGCTGTCCACCACGGGGCTCCCTTTCCCTCCGGAAGCCTGGCATTTCAGCAGCGCCAACGTGGCCCGCTTGACAAGTTCATCGACTTTTGGCGTGATCCGGAGGGTGTCGGTATGTTTGAAGACTATACCGAGGCCATAGGCGTCTGTAAGTACTGCTTCGAACCCGGCACTTCCTCGCGTGACGCACCTCGTAAACATCACTACCGCCCACGCCGATCGTCCGCTGAGCGCCACAGCGGTGGCTCCCGGGTGGGAAAGGCAAGTCGCTATACATCCTCTGAGGATGAAGGTCGCCGACGGAAGAAGTCATCACGGAGTTCCTGGCTGCTGCCTGGACTGTTGGGTGGAATGGCGGCCAAAACGCTTTTCAATAACAAGGATTTTGAAGACACCTATAGCGTCCGTTCGGGCCGAGTGATGACCGTCAACGACTCTGAAAGTGTCTCAACAACACGACGAAGCCAGACCTCGCGTGGCGTCTATAGGCGTCGCAGTCAGTCTCGAGACCGTGAAGGCCGCATCCTTTACTCAGACTCGAAGAAGAGCCAATATGAAGATAGACGACACGGTTCTCGGTCCCGATCCCGCTCTTCCTCCCGAAATGACCGCCATTCAGCACTCAGAGACGCAGCCCTAGGTGCTGCAGTGGGCTCAGCAGCTTTGGCTGTGGCCAAGTCCCGTGATCGAAACCGCAGCCGCAGTAGTCGCAGTCGCAGCCGATCCCCAAGAAAGACAAAAGGGAGAAAGTCGTCAACCTCTGACTCTTCCTCCTTTGTTGATATCTCCCAGCCTGCTCGAAAGTCCGTTGGCGGTGGCATTGCTTCTTTCTTCACGGCTTCTTCTGAGAACCGTAGAAAGCGCCGAGTCAAGAAACGCAGGAGTATCTTTTCGTTCAACAACTCGTCCTCTTCTTCGCTTGATGCGGACTTGGCATTCGGTACCGGATTCGCACGAAAACCTGCTGGCAAGTCGAACAAGAAGAGCAGTAAGAAGAAGGACCATGACGTGGATGCAGCCTTGCTGGGGTTAGGCGCTGCAGCCACCGCATTAGCTGCTACGTCTCATGGACGCAGTCGGCGGACTGGAGAGATTCTCGCGGCCAAGGAGACGCGGTCGCGACACTCGGATTACACATCGTCCGTCACGAACGATGAAGGCTGGGAGGATATGGACTCAGGGGACCAGTCTTCCTCCAGTGTCAGTTCAGCGCTCGCGTTCGGTGGTAGCGCATTGTTCGGTAGCGATGAATCACAGTCGTCTGACTCTGGTACCTCAAAATGGGGCTGGAGATGGGGAAGCGGAAAGGATAAAAAGAAGAAAAAGAGGGCTAGCTCCTCGGAGGACCGATTCCCTACAGGTGCTGCCCTCGCTGCAGGTGCGCTAGGAACGGCCGCGTTGGCTTCTACCCATGACAGAGACTCCAGACTTCCCAGCCAGGGTGCGTCAAGCAGCTCCGGGAGCTTGCAGCATGTGGCCCCCGTGCCAACTAGCGATCCTACCCGCTTTGATGCGATCAACGTGTCGTCTCTGCCCCCTGGCGAACCCGCATTCGTTCGACCAGGTCCCATTCCATTGCAGCAACCGCAGCCCATGACGCTAGTCTCACAGGCTGTTTATGCTACCCAGGGCGAGTCGATTCCCGCTTACAGTGCTCCCGTGATCCCACCTGTTTTTCCTCCGACCTCCTACATCCCTTACAGACCTGAACAAAGTCAAAGTGTAGCTTTAGGCTTTAATCGACCACATCGCAGGAGCGAGTCTTTTCCCGTGTTCCAGACAGAGCCTCTGGAAGGTGCGCCAGCACCCGGCCTGAAGCGTCGCTCGACCGTCAAGGATCAGACCTCGGTCCAATTTGATCTGACCAAGGAGCAAGCTGATAAGGAGCGACGTGCGGATCGTCTTGAGCAGTTGAAGCGCGAAGCGGAGCGGGCCAACGGAGTGCAACTCATTGATAGGGAAGATGAACCTGCCGTCTGGGATGACGATCGTCGTTCAAGACGCTATGAAGATCGTGGATACGATGACCGCAGACAAGAAGAGCCTAAACATGATCGCTACTACAAGGATTCCGAAAAGGACAAAGACTCATCCTCGCGGATCGGTGCTGCCGCCGCGGGTGCAATAGGCGCCGCCGCTGCAGCTACTGTGCTATCTGGAAGAGGTTCGGTTGACGAATCCTCCGAAACCAGCCAGCGGCGCCACGACGAGCGTCGGCAGCAGCGCCGAGCGGAGCGTCGCCGTGGATCCGAGCCGGAGTCGGCGGTGTCCAGCCATAGTAAATCTGAGCCTGCCCAGGAGACGATCGATGATCATCCGACCGAGAAACGTCAGCCGGAGCTGACCAAGCCGCCTAGTCCCAGTCGCGGTCCCCACAAATACGACGATTACGCTGAGTTCTTCGCTCCTGAAGAGTTGCGGTATAGTCCGGACGCCTACAAGCGGCGCGAGCCTGCCTCGATGCCTACTATCATTGAGATCGAACCTGCAAGTGAGAGACAGTCGCGAGAAGTGCTGCCCCCAGCAGAGGAGCCACATCCCCAATACCGAGATCTGCCATGGCCGGTACCTCTTTTGAAACTCATCGAGCCCACTCCTCCCCAAAGTTTGAGTGGATCCGTCAGAGACGCTGCTTCACCCGTGGTTAGTGCTCGGGATATGCCTACTCACGAAGAAGAGGAAAACGTGAAGCCGGCTGCACGACAAACGACCGGCTCCCGTGTCTCCTGGGGAGAGCACGAAACGCACGAGTACGAAGTTCCGTCCACGTCCTCGGAACTCGAATCAGTTGACCATGAGACCACTAGAGTCCAAGAGGAGTCTCATTCGCCGGTACTCGAACACCGGGACGTGCCCTCCAAGCACGTCGCGGATGATGTGGGTGCGGACATTGAGTTTGCGGCTGCCTTGGCTGCTGCCACCGCAGCTGCGGGCTTTGATCCTGCCCTCGTGACGGAGGATCCAACATATCATACACGGTCTTTGCCTCTTGGCTCTCGAGGTGGGGTCGAATTCAGGTCCCCATGGGTGGAGGCCGAGTTAGATTCTAGGATTCCGCATGGCTTTGTCGAAGGAGAGGTTGAGACCCCCGAAGATGAAAAAGCCGGACTAAATAGAGTCGTCGCAGAGCAGCCACTGTACTCTGAACCTGAGCCTGTTTCACGGGAACTGGACAATCAAGAACCGTCTGAGCCCCAGACTCGAACCTCGATCGCTCAGGAGGTAATCGACCGGCTCAACGGAAAGCAAGATGAAGGAGACACCTCACGTAAAGCTCGATCCGACACAGAAAAGAGTTCAAACTCCGGCGAGAAACGCGATGAATCTGAGCTCCCTGCTCAAGACTCGTTCTCCATGCCCGGCGGATTTGAAACGGAAGAGTCACCCTCGGAATCGAAGCGTGATGTGGACTCGCGTGACGCCGGTGGCTTAGACCGCCGATCCGTTGTTTCAGCCCCTGTATCTAGTGAATACGATTCCTCAACAAGACCGAGAAAATCCAGACGAGACAGTGGTGACTTTGACGATGCTGAAGATGCCGCCTCTGCGTCAGTTGAGCCGGATGGCACCGAGGGGAAGAAAAAGCGACGGAAGAGACGCTCCAAGCGTGACAGTGACACCTTTACCGACTCTGCCTCTGTGACATCCTCGCCCGCCAGAATTGGGGAGTCCAGCGAGAAACACAAGAGCACGGATGACAAGGACAAAGAAAAAAGGGCGGGGGGTTTCTTCAGCAGTATCTTTGGCTCGAGAGTTTCAGAGCCGGTGGACACCAAGACGTCGTCCTCTGCAGATAGGCCTTCGTCGCGTGAGATTCAGTCCGAGGTCGGGCGTCGGGAGTACGAGGAGTCACGCCGCCGGAGGAGGGAGGAAAGGTCATCCCGGCGTCGCAGCTCCAGTGGCGGGGATAAGGGCCCCCGGCGAGATGAGGAGAGCGGTTCCGACAAGGAGAACAGTAAGGCTAGAGACAAGGATGGTATTGACATTGAGAACTACAAGTCTAGCAGGCAACGGAGGGAAGAGAGACGGCGACGAAGATACGAGGATATTGTGGAATCGGGGAAACCGGAGGAGTATGAGAAGGTATAGTCATCTTTAACTGTTTTGAGCTCATTAACTGTAACGTGTCTTGTGCCCTGTTTATGGTCCGAATGTGGACGGGCCAAGCAAGCAAGTTTTAACGCGCATATGCTAAATGATTTTCTCCTCGTTTCCTCTACGTATAGGATCGGAAAATATCGGAAGACAACGACGAGAACCAGTCTTTTTTAGCAGAAGGCCCCGAAATGCCAGTCCAGGTAGACGACGGCAATAGAGAGCGTGGTGCTTCGGGGCGCGTTCCTTTGGCAGAGAGAGACGTCACAGGGCTGGGATTAGACGTACTGGAACAGCGGCCAAGGGGCCGCTCGACATCCCCTGAAGCCTCGGAAAGGATCGTGGATCCAGCCCCCAAGTCCCAGAGTAGGCCGGCCTCGCCCGAGCCGAATCGGCAAGAGGGAGACAATCAGAGCCAGTCGTCACGACGATCATCCATGTTGCGGTCGACAGAGTCGCCTACCGCGGTGCCGTTGCACTTCCGTCGCCCCCCAACCTCGCCTGGGACCAATCGTTCGGCATCCGTCAGCGCCCCTACTGCACCATCTCCCGGGTCTCCAACAGCGCCCAAACGCCGACCAAACTCTACCGAGTTCAAGAGTTCGCGCGAGATCCGGCCCCTGTGGCTGGTAGAGCGTCACGGTCCTGGACACGGGGAGCATGAGCCCGAGGAACCGCTACCATCGCTACCGTCAAGCAAGACTTCATCCGCGAACAACTCCGTGGAAGATCTCACGGCCCTTCAGGACGAGAGAAGCTGGGAGGCGGTTGATCTGAGCCATCATGTCCATGACACTCGGCGACCGAGCGGCATCGACCTGTCTCAGAGCAGAGGTGTCGAGCACGATGCCCTAGGTTCTCAGCAGGTCACACCTACCGCGGCAACTTTCGATCAGATACACCCAAATCCTCCTTCACGGAAAGAGCTGAAATATGAGTTCCATTCTCCCTCGGAACTCCTGCAAGATCCGACCGCGTACGGAGACGTGCAGCCGTTTGACGTGGGGGATCTCCCTTCCGCAGAGGGCTCGGCTGTGGGTGTCAAGGATGCAAGTGCTGGGAATGAAGACAAGGTAGAACGCCCGGCTGAGGCCTTGCCTTTTCGGCCCTCTACCCCACAAAACAATGATATCGCGGCCTCCGAGGACACGGAGACCACCCCTACTCAGACCAGGACCGTGAACGCTTTCGAAGGCCCTGGATTCGCTGGGGTGGTTGATGCTGCTGTTGCAGCAGCTGTGGGTGGTGGTCTCGGCACGCAGCCAGATGTTGCAATTTCCGCCAAAGAAGGTCCAGTGGATCTTCCTGGTGCTGTGGAAAGAACTGATAAGTCGATTGTTGCCAACGATGAACCCGCGGCAGCTTCCGTTTCCACCCCCGGCGCACCTCTTGACTTTGCAGCCGTTGTTGATGCTGCGGTTGCTGCAGCCACCAACTCTACTGGCGAGAAGCCCGAGGCTGCTAGGGAAATTGAGCAGCCGCAAGCCACTGAAAAGTCAAAGGACGAAGTAGCTGCTGCTGCAAGCGAACAGCAGGAGCCCGGGGAATCGCATCTGCAGCAGTCGCCTGAGTCAACCGAGCCCGTACCACAAGCCCCACACGCGGACGAACAAGAGATATCACATCCGACTGGGAACGACGACAGCGTCCCGCGAGATGACAAAAGAAGGGATTCAGTGGCCACAGTGGTTCCCCTAGTGGAAGAAGCCTCCCATGAACAGGGGAAGCTGGACACCAGCGCGGCCATCCCAGAAATAACCGGGGAAAACAAGGAGCTTCCGTCCGAGACAACGAACAAGAACGCGGGCGATAATGATCAGGTCCAGCCCGAGGAGCCGTCGGTGGACACTGACGAGCCATCTTCGTCTTCTGCCAAGAAAAAGAAGAAGAATAAGAAGAAGCGTCAGAGCATGGACTCAAGCACGCACGAGCCGACTACACTTGTCGATGACTCGACTGCCAACCAGGGGGAGGAGGGGAAATTTATTGTTGAAGATGCACGGACTGATGCCGTCGAGTCGTCTGAGCCAGCACTAAAGGAGCAATTTCTTACCGACCAGCCTGCCAGTGCTGAAGCTACAGCTGCGCCCGAGCAGGAGCCGGTAGAGGCCACGGTTGATATAGAGCAAGCCACCGAAGCGCCGGGCGTCAAAGCACTTGAAGATGAACCGGCACCCGCTGCACCCGAAGATACGCCTGCCGAACCAACTGTTGAGACACCAGCTGAGGACCAAGCCGAGACGACATCTTCCAAGAAGTCCAAAAAGAAGAAAAAGAAGAAGAACAAGGGCTCTGCTCCTGAGGAGAACACGGAGGACCCGAATCCTACAGATACTCCGGAACCATCCGCTGCAACTTCGCAGGTCATCGTGGAAGAGCAGGTAGAACCTACCGTGGAAACTACACAGCCTGCCGAGGGAGAACCTAAGCCTACCGAGGAGAGCACCATTGCTGTGCCCGAGAATACTGTCGAGTCCGAACCGGTGCCCAAGAAAATGGAAGCTCCTCAAGACCCTACTGGTGAAAAAGTTCAAGATGTTCCCGTACCAGGAGAATTTCCAGGCTCACCGGTAGAGGCTGATAATCAGGCTAAAGACTTGCCGCAATCTGGAGAAGAGTTCCAAGCTGAGCCTACTCGCGCCCAAGAGCTACCAGAGAGTACCGAGATCACCCACAAGATTCCCGACATGACCCCAAGCGTAAATCCTTCGGAACCAGTAGTGAGTGAGATGATGAATGAGACGGCCTCTCCGGATGTTTGGCATGACGCATTGGCTTCCTCTCCCGAGCAGAAGAGCGCCGAAACAGAGCAAGCTGATCCTAAATCTGATGAGCAACACAACGAGGAGAAGGCACCGGAGTCCGAGATACAGCCAATTGACAAAGAACAGGCTGAGATCTCAGAAAAGCCTGTCGAGGCGGATACTCCTGCTCTCATCCCAGTCCTTCCTGCGGAACAGCAAGAGCAATCCAAGGAGCCCCCTACTCCTGTGTTAGATTCTACTTCCACGGATAAGGTCGAAACGGTAGGGTCTAGTGTCCGGAACGAAGAGCCCACTCCCACTACTACGGAATCGGAAACTCCCTTGTCACGCAAAAACAGCAAGAAGAACAAGAAAAAGAACAAGCGGAAGAGCACTGCAGAGACACCAGTTCAGAGTGAGGCTGTTGATACTGCGGAGCCTATCTCTTCAGTGGAAGGCGTGCGTGAACCTGGTCCTGAGACTACAAGCACAGCTGTGGAGGAACCTCAAGTAAAGTCGCTGGATGAGGCTGTCGATGAAAATAAGGGAGAAGCTACGGACTTTCAAAAAGATATCAAAGAGGAACCCTTGCCAGAGGACGCGGCTGAGGTAGCAACCGATTCGCAGCCGGCTACAGCTGACGAAATCCATCAGACAGCAGCGGAAGACCCGGCGCCAGACGCGGTGGCTGAGATCATGAGCGAATCCCAGCTAGCTACACCTCAAGACGTTCTGAAGACAGCACCAGAAGAGCCCGTCAACGAGCAGCCAAAAAAGAAAGGCAAGAAAAAGAAGAATCGCAAATCAGTCAATGTGTCCGAGTCCCAGCCTGAGTCAGAGTCAGAAGTCAAGACTGAAGAACTCCCATTAGTTGAAGCTGCAGAGACCCCGCAGCCTCAAATAAGGAGTGAGGTAGCGGCCGCAGTTGACAGTCAGGTACCGCCAGAGTCGAGTATCATGGAAGCACCTGCAGGGATTGGAGACATTACGCCCGCTTCCGCAGCGGAGGCAATTGAACTAAATTTACCTGCGGGGAAAGATGAGGCCAATGGCGGAGAACCACATGTGTCCGAGCCCAGCGAGCAGCCAAATATCGAGACTGTGTCTGGCCCTGAACCAGACCCCGAATCTGTGCCTGAAGCGGGGGCAATTGCAGCGACTGGCAAAAAGGGCAAGAAGAACAAGAAAAAGAAGCAGAGCCTGTCTCTCACCCCTGATGAAACGCCAGCCTCCGAGTCGTTAACTCCCGCAGACGCTGCAGATGCGAACACGGATTTGCCTGTCGCACCTGAAGATTCCTCCTTGGAGACTGATAAAGAGCCAATGCGGGAGGAGCCAATTGAAAGCCAGCCGACCGTTGAACCGGTTGCTGAAACACCAGATCAAAGCACGACGGAGGAAGCTGTCTCTATGACCTCAGCGCAAAAGAAGAAGGCAAAGAAAGATAAGAAAAAGAAACGCCAATCTACTTCATTGGATGAGACACCTGCGTCTGAGTCGATGATTGAAGAAGCCGATGCCAAGGATGTTACTCCTGAAGGTGCTCAGTTGCGCTCGGAAGAGCCGTCTGAACCTCAATCACTCGAGGCTACTTTGGATGCCATCGAGCACGTGGAAGCGACAACTGAGCCTTCGCAAGAACAGCCCAAGGAGGATGTGTCTTTGCACCCGGAACGCAGCTCCAACTCTGATGAAGAGTTCGTGCTGGTACCAGAACATGTGCCCTACGGACCCAATGATGAAGATTCACCCCGATCTGGTTCCACGGGGTTCGATCTCACAAAAGGGAACAGTGAATTGGAAAAACAGCCATTGACCCAGGAAGGTGTCTTGGATGCAAACGAGGCCACTCCCGCCGAATCACCCTCTGCTGCTGCCCAACCTGTCCAAGAAGAATCCAGCCCCACGCCAGCATTGGAGGGCGGTGCTGCCATCGAAGAACCAGAGGCTGCAGAAAAGGACGTACCTGAAGATTCTCCAGACAAGACAATCGAGCACAATGAAACTCCTGACGATAGCTTGACGGCAAAAGAAGCTCAAGCCGAAGTAGTCAGCACAGAGACTACTCGAGAGACTGACCAAGGCGGTGCAGTTCCGGACGTCGAAGCTGGCTCTGAAGGCTTGATTCGGGATGATCAGCCTTCCGCTTCCTCGAAAAAAAAGGACAAGAAGAAAGAGAAGAAGCGCCAGTCCCTTGCCCTGAACGATGAGCAAAATCCCTCCACCAAGGAAGTACTGACTGCTGAGCCTCCCTCCGACCCAGTTCCAGAGCCCTCGGAAGTTGATGAATCTGCGCCTGTTCCTTCCGCCCCTGAAGAACAGCAGAAGTCTGATGACGCTGCAGCCGACAAGGCAGGACAAGAGTCAACTGCTGAGCCTCCCTCCGACCCAGTTCCAGAGCCCTCAGAAGTTGATGAAACTGCGCCTGTTCCTTCCGCCCCTGAAGAACAGCAGAAGTCTGATGACGCTGCAGCCGACGAGGTAGGACATGATCCTCCCTCCGACCCAGTTCCAGAACCCTCGGAAGTTGATGAATTCGCGCCTGTTCCTTCCGCCCCTGAAGAACAGCAGAAGTCCGATGGCGCTGCAGCCGACGAGGTAGGACAAGAGTCAACTGCGGAGACAATTCAGACAGCGCAACTGGCAGAGGAAGTGCAGACGACCACGTCCAAGAAGAAGGCAAAGAAGGACAAGAAAAAGCGCCATACACTCTCTTTGGACGATGATCGAACTCCTTCGACTGAGGAGAAGATCGACGCCACTGAAACCGTAGCAGAAACAGCTGCCGAGCCAGCACCACCTTCTTTCGCTTCGGAAGAACCAGAGAAAATTGCAGAAGCTCCTTCCAATGAAGCTACACGAGAACCCACTGCAGATGAGACTCAGACCGTGGAGTCCACAGAGGAAAGTCAAACAGCAAAGTCGAAGAAGAAGGCAAAGAAAGACAAAAAGAAACGGAAGTCTGTCTCCTTTGAGATTGAAGAGCCATCGACTCAGCCGAGCGAGCCTGACCACCCTGTCGCGACTTTTGGCGAGACAGTGACTCCACATGAGGAGCCGAAGCCCGAGGACGAACCTTCCGCACGGGAAGGTCTTACTGAGGAGTTTCAGCCATTAGAAACAGTCCCTGCGAGCCTAACTCAAGGTGGAACAGATATTGATACTCAACCTGAGCAACCTGAGCCAAATGCCAAGGCTACAGAAGTTACAGAGCAACAAGAGCAGGTTCCCGAGCCTTTCCCAGGTTCAATCACGGAGGAGCAGGCTGTGGAAGAAACTGCAGCTCCGCCGTTGGCTGATGAGGCGTCCCAATCACAAGAACAGAAAGTCTCCTCGGAGACCTTATGGTCTGAAACTCAGGAGGACCGTGTCAAGAGTGTCCAGGACGCTGAATTGTTAGGCGAGAAGACAGAGGAGCGCGCTGTCCAGCCTTCGCTAGAAGACAACGAGAGCACCAAGACCGAAGCCTTGACGGAACAAGCAGAGTCCGAGCCGCAGACGCCCATTGATGAGGGCGAGCAAGGAGTAGGGCCCTCTAAGTCAAAGAAGAACAAGAAGAAGAAGAAAAAGAAGGACACTCTGGAGCCAAGAGAAGATATGCCAGTGACACCGCCTGAGCCTTCAAACGATGAGCCGCTCGAATCGACACCAGTTCTTGAACAGGAAAAGGCTCACGACACTGCCGAGCCTGACGCCACAGTGTCTGAACCTCTGCGCGAAGAGGAGAAACCCGAAGAGGAACCCAGCGGGTTTATTTCGGCAAAAGCAAAGAAAAAGGGAAAGAAAGACAAGAAGCGCCAGTCCAAGATTCTTGATAGCGCAAACGACGCCGCCAGCACCGCCGAAACCTCCGCAGATGTCGCGGAACAGTCGCCCTTGAACACATCAAGCGGCGAAGCGGATGGCCCAGATGCGGAGTTCGCTCAAGAAACGAGTGAAGCCGTCTCTCCCGAAGCGAAGTCCTCGGAGCCATCGCCTGAGACGGCACTCACGCCTGCTGAAGATGACGGTAAAGAAAATCAGTCCCACGACACCGAACCATACGGCGGCAACGATAAAGATCTGACATGGACTGATCACATGGTATCTTCGCAGGTAGAGCAACAACAAGCAACACCTTCCGATCGTCCGTCCCAACCCGCGCTTGAAGCCGAGCCAACTTCCGTCGGCGAAGCAGCAATATCCAGTCATGTGGAACAAGGTGAAAACAACGCAGACAAGGCTTCGCCGGCCGTTGACGATAGGGTAGAGGGATCTGGTGAAGAAGGTACGAGAGCGAAGAACGAAATGATGGCCGAAAGTCCCGAGATACGAGATGAGGGTCTTCTTGAGATTCCGCGAGAAGAAGAGAAGGGAGAGGTATCAAGCCAACGAGAAGACTCCATTCAGGCCGAAACCGAAGAGCAAGTGGGGGAATCGACGAAAGCACCCGCTGAAGAAACACACAAAGATTTCATGAGCCAGGAACCGGCTCCAGAATCCGTGCCAGAGGGCGGAGATGCCGCGACTAAGGATCAGTCCACTGACATTGAGGTTAACGATCCTTCAAAGCCAGAGGACGTCCTTGAGCTGGAGAACGAAGAGTTGCCATTATCAACCTCAGGAAAGAAAAAGAAAGACAAGAAGAAAAAGAAGGCGCAACAGGAGACAAAGACTGATGAGACATTGAAGGAGCCTTGGGTGGATGTCGTGCAAGAAAAATCACCAGCGAGCCAGGAACTGACTGATACCACGCTACCTGTTGCCGAGTCTCAGGCAGATCCAGTTGCCGAGCCCTCGCACGAGCTTTCCGAATCACAGAGACCAACTGAGACTGTAATTGACGACAAGGGCATTGAGGAGACCCTAGGGCTGCAACAAGAGATAAAGCTTGCGGAGGACGGCTTCGAGGAACCACCGGCTCTTTCACGAAAGAAGAGCAAGAAGGACAAGAAGAGAGAGCGCCTTGCTCAAAAGGCTGCTGTTGAGTCACGCGAGAATGAATCCAAGGAGGAGCCGCTGGCGACTGAAGAGCACCTCATTCCACCTTCGGATGCTCAGCCGACCGAGCCTGCGATTCCTGAATCAGCCCTGGCACTGGGAATACCTACCGAGACAACCGCAGACGCTGGCGAAGCTGAACTGCATTCGAGCGCCGTTCAATTCACTGCTCCGGTGGAGGACAATATCAAGGCCATAGAAACCTCTGAAGTTCAGACAGTTGAAAGCCTCCAACTGCACGAAGGAGCTTCAAGTCTAGGTGCCGAGGCCGTGGCTGAGCACACTCCACTGGAGATTAAGGAAGAAACCCTGCCCTCTGAGCTTTTGCAGGAAGACGAGATGATTGAGAACGATCCCGGAACGAACAAGGCCCAAGTACAAGCTGAACCGGTTAATGAAGACGAGAATGGTCGTGTGAAGTCGCTTCTTGAGCCTATCCAATCACTAGAGGCTCCCCAGCAGCCACTTGAGCGGGAAAATTTGCTGAATGAGGATGCGGCAACGGCTCCAGAGGTACTACCTGCTGTGGAGAAGTCAGTTGCTGACGCCGAGACGGCCACGGAACCAATAATTGAAGAAGCACCCCTGAGTCGCAAGGAGTCGAAGAAGAAGGCGAAGAAGGCGAAGAAGCAAGCTCAAAAACAGCAAGAGAAGACCACTACTCCCGCCCCTGCTGAGCTTGGAGAAGACAGCATTGTGGAGACTACGCCCACCATACCAGGCAAGCCCGGTTCAGCAGAGAATTCTGGCGATGTCCCCGAGGCAAACGTTTCGGAAGAGCAGTTGGTTCCTTCGGATGCCGCTCGATCTCAAGAGACTCTTGAGCAGACTCCGAACATGAACAATCAAATTGAGGATGCGCTATGGAGGGACCAGGAAAAAGAGGGCAATGTCCAGGCTGAACCAAGCCAAGGCGCTGAATTTAGAAACGAGCAAGTTGCCGAGGATTTCACCGAGGGTCAGCCTGAACCCACAGCGGCTTTTGCGAGAAAATTATCCAAGAAAGAGAAAAGAAAAGCCAGGAAGAATTCTGCCAAGGATGCCATCGATCCTTCAGACGAGCCCGAGCTGCGAAATCCAACCGAATCTATCGAGCCATCCGTCTCTACCACGGACCAAGCCAAGACCGACGAAGATCCATTTCTGACAGGTGCCTACGACAAGCAAATGACCGAGGAGGTTCCACGATCACTTGAGGCTGAGCCAGGAGCTCCGGAGATGCACCAAGGTGCAGGTGACGAGGATGATTGGCCTGCAATAGACTGGGAGAAAGGTAAAGTCGAAATCCAAGAACAGACGCCACAGTCGTCACCTGAGGCTCATGCAGTTCCTTTTGAGCCAGGCATTGCAGAATTCGACGAGTCTGCCATCCCAGAGGGATTGCTTAGACGACAAAGTCTATCCCGTAGAGGTGCCTGGTCGTCTCCAATGAGCAAGCAACTGATGGACTGCGAAAGTTCACAGCAAACAGGGGCAGATGAAGCAGGAGCTGCTCCGCAAGAAGGTGGTGTAGTGGTAGAGCCTGACACGGTGGTCGAGACGGAGCAGTCTGCCAAACTGAACGCAGAACCTGCAAGTTCGCAAGTTCAAGAAAAGGCCATGCAGCATCTCGAGAACGCTTTGGCATGGGATCAAGCAAAGGGTGGGACCGAAGTGATGCCGCCAAAGCAAAGCAAAATTGCGAGCATCTTCCCAAATCTTGAGCGCGGATCCTTTCGACGACCTGTTCCGGGCCAAGAATTGATGCCGGTAAAAGATAGTGCTGAGGATGAGACTATTGACCAACATGCGGATGGCAACTGCGCGATCCAGGTCTCGGAGGCAACTATCCCGGCCGGCGAGCCGGAAGAGAGCCGTTTACAGGGCCAGCAAGATGAGAAAATTCAGGAGCCAGCGGCTACGGTTTTTACGCGGGATCTATCTCTGGAAGAGCCTATGAAGATGCAGGACACAAGCAGCACTCCAGTTAACCTTGCTGTTGACGTTGAGATTGATCCCTCATACAATGTTTCTGTGATATCCGATGGTCCAGGGAAAGAAACCGAATCTATTGAAATTGAATGGAAGGACAACGACAATACGCGAACCCTAGAAGCCGAAACACCCTTGTACGCACCGTTGCCTGTGCACGAACAGAAGTCATCTCTTGTCAGCCATACTTCTCCCGTTGGAATGGACCGAGACGAGCAGATTCTGAGAAACGATTCTTCCTGTGGGCTTCGCCGCAGCCCGTCAATTCATGGGCGACACGATCACCCACCGCGAACATGGTCGCTGGAGGATTCACCGATCACCAAGGCAGTGACACCACCCCTGGCGACGACGTCTCTATTTGGGGGACCAGCAGGGGCCCCTGCGGACATGGGCTCACCTCCACGTACTCCATTACAAACTATCGCGGAACAAGAGCCAGACGATCGAGTGGAGCTAGCGAGCGGGTTAAGATCCATGGTTCCTGAACACGGGACACCCCGTCTGGAGATGAAGCCCGAACATGTTCTTCCACGTCCCGAAACTCCGATCAGAAAGTTTACAGATAATGCGCTGGCACGTCAGGCATGGCCTGTATCGGACAATGACAAGCTCCAAAGCTCGGCAGACGAGGATGCGGGTCTCGCTGTCAAGAAACGGCGGCCAGGTAACGAATGGCCCGCCGAAATACTGAAAACTCCGGACCAAGGAATGCCGATTCTAAGACCAAGCAGCGTGAGCAGCATCAAAAGTGTGCAGAGCAATTACAGTGTGACTGGTGGGCAGCGATCGCTACGACGCACCAGTCGCAACACCAGCGGGGATTTGCGGGCGGCTAGCCAGGCACAGGAAAGCCACAGTCCCCAGCCACACGATACGCCCCAGCCTCCTCAGCCCCCGCCCTCCGATCTCAACATCGAGCGCATCGCTTCGTCTTCCTCCTACGACCCCGTCACGGACAAGGGCAAGCGCCCCATACGAGCCATGCCGGACGTCTATGTAGGTACTCCTCCATTCAATTACGCTAACTCTTTGATAAATGCGATTATTGTTGGCCTTCCAATCACTAACTGATCCCGGTTTAGGAGGGATGGGGAGAGACGCCCAGCTCGCCTCGGTCGCCGAGCCGACCGCCCAGTATCCGTCATCGTCGAAGTATGCAACACCTCCAAGAACTTGAGGCTCGTCTCGATCAACTCATCTCTGAAAATCGACTCCTCATCGCCGCTCGTGAAGCCGCCGAGGATAAACTTCGGAATGCTAGTGTCGCCCGTCGCAAGAGCGACCATACACTCAACGAGCGCAGTGCCGACCTGCGGGACAGAGAAGCCGAGGTGGAAAACCTGAAGAATTCCGTGGAATGGCTCCAAAAGGAAGTAACCCGCCTGACAGAAGAGAATGAAGGGCTTACCACCACGAACTCCAACCTGACCGCCGCCCATGCCAAGGAAATTGAGGCGGAGCGCGAATCGTCCTCTCGCCAATTGGACGACTTGCGCTCGCGATATGAGCAGCTCTCCACGGAAGTGCAGAACACAGTGCGGCACGAAATTGAGACTGCGCTGGCGCGAAAGGATAACGAACTGCGACGGCTTAGGGAAGAGCTTGAAACCGCTCGGGATAAGGTGTCGCATTTACAACAACAAATCGCGGCATCCTTGCATGACAACGTTCTCGTCTTCCGCGATGAGGATTACTTCGATGCTGCATGCCAAAAACTGTGTGGGCATGTGCAACAATGGGTGTTGCGGTTCTCCAAACACTCCGACCATCGACGCTGCCGCAAACTTGCTGAGATACAAGATGAGAAGATTGCAGACCGCTTCGACAATGCGATCCTGGACGGCTATGATACAGATACCTACCTCGCCGACCGCGTCCGTCGCCGCGATGTCTTCATGTCGGTGGTGATGACTATGGTGTGGGAGTTTGTGTTCACACGGTATTTGTTTGGCATGGATCGTGAGCAGCGCCAAAAGCTCAAGTCCCTGGAAAAGCAACTGAGCGAGGTTGGCCCACGGAGCGCTGTCCATCGTTGGCGCGCGATTACCCTTACGCTCCTGTCGAAGCGCCCGGCATTTGCTCGTCAGCGTGAAAACGACACGGAAGCGGTTGCATTGGAAGTCTTTGAGACTCTGTCGCGTCTCCTCCCACCCCCAAGTCATGTCGAAGCCCAGCTCTTGGAGTCTCTACGCAAGGTTCTACGGGTTGCAGTCAACCTGTCAATTGAGATGCGCACGCAGCTGGCCGAATACATTATGCTGCCGCCACTCCAACCCGAGTACGACACAAATGGAGACCTAGCACGGCAGGTCTATTTCAACGCCTCATTGATGAACGAACGCAGCGGGGAGACAACGTCGAATGAGGAGCTGGAGTCGCAGCAAGCAGTCGTCCGGGTCGTCTTGTTCCCGCTAGTGGTAAAAAAGGGCAACGACACAGGCGAGGGCGAAGATGAAGTAGTTGTCTGCCCTGCTCAGGTGCTTGTCGCTCGACCCGGCAAGGATCCAAGGGCCAGCAAAATCTTCAGCAGCGACCGCATGTCCCTGGATGGAACCAAGTCTGTTCACAGCGTCGCTCCATCATCAACCATGGATATCAGCAACGTGATCTGAGGCGTCACACTCTGGTCACGACTTGTTCATGCTCAGCTCCACGGATTGATGTAAGCTGAAGGCTTTCGGTCAATCTTTATATCTTCTTTCTGTTCTGGTATGGTAATTGGCAATGATATCCGGAGGCGTCAGGGTCAAAAGAATTGGATCTATACAAGATCCCTTATGAAATGGTAATGGATAATCATGGAGGCTTGAGGTTCCCTTGTGTTCTATTTTACGAATATGCTTACGATGCTACGGCCTCTACCTTCTGGTATTGTTGATGATGTATATGGTGTTCTTGATTTGTTGCTATTTTTTCAGATCTCATTCAAAAGAAGATCTTTGTGTGTATGTACCTTTACATAGATGATTATGACGACTGATGACTGTTCATAAAGTTGTTGGATGAATGCGTTGAGATCATTGACTTTACAAGTGTCCTTGTTTCTTAACCCGTAAGTCTTCGAAAGCTCCATGAGCGACATGCTTCACAAGAGTGAAAGCAAGGTTTAGTCGGAGTATTGAAGCTGGTTATCGTTGGAGCGAAGAAGGACACAGCTACAGACCGAGAGTAGGACTGTACTCGTACTCCGTAGAGGTATCAGATCCCTGCCTTACGGATCGGCATAAGCTGCGAGGTTGCAAGGCCGCCAATCAAATCGCTTGAATGATCTCATCGTCATCGGCGGCCTGAGGCACTCCGCCATCTCATCCACCGCCGCCTGCTGTACGTCCTTTTCTTCTTATTCCTCACCCTCCTCTCGTACAGTTATCGCATTTTATGACCTTTGAAGCATCTGGCATTACTCTCCTATTGTTACAACTTTTGTGTTCTTGATGAAAAAGACCCTTTAGTTTCGGACTGCCCCATGTTTCACTGCACTGCGCCACAGGCGTCATCCTCTACGACTTCGTTACAGTACAACTCTACTGGCGAATTCTTGTTCAGGGAGTCCCGATGAATTATCATTAGGCATGTAGGTTGCTGCAACGATAGAACTGCAGCAACTCCGTGGACCTAGCCAGAGTTCAGTTTCCTTCCTATCTCCATCATCATTGACCATCACGCCTGGATTTCCAACCAAGGATTCCACGCCGCCATAAGATTCGATTGAAAGAACCCCTTGACTCACCATGCCTTCTGGCAAGTCGTCGCGAGACAATGGTCTCCAGACCGGGACGCCTGCAACGACGGGAGCTATCCGTAGCTCAGGGGCCTACGAGACATCAGCCCCACAGACCCATCACGATATCACATCGGAGGGTCGACCTGCGACGAACAAACCGGCTAAGCGGAGAAAGAACCGTCATCGAAAGCGTCGCAATCGCCGGCAGTCCTTTCTTGCCCCTGAAGAATCCCATACTGCGGCTGCGGCTTCGGGTGCCGATGCGGAGGATCTGGCCATGATTGCGGGGGATCAGACCCATTCTCGGCCAGCGCTTCCATTCTACAATCTGGCAAGGGATTTGAGCAGTACAAGCTTGGAGAGTGAGGCTCTGTTGGATCATCGGTAAGTTTAATTTCCGTCTGGTAGGATATCGCGTCATTTTTTTTTTTTTTCGCATGCTGATATGTGCCTTGGTAAATCTATGCAGAAATCAGCCCATGATGCGGCCCCGGAGAGAAAGTCGGCTGGCACAGTCCTTTCGACCCGGATCTATGACAATTCCGTCTCGTTCTACCGATTTAGCTTCTCGCGGTACGCCTTCCGGTAACAGGGTCTATCATGCTGGAGACGACAGCGATGGATCAGACGGAATGGATGATCATACGCCGTTGATACGACCATCTTCAGGCCATCTTAACAACAAGTCCTGGTATGGAACAGATGCCAAGGCAAGCCCCTTTGCATCGCGCCAGCGACGTGCCTCTGGGCAGACAACTTCCTCCCGGTGCTCTCCTCGCGGTCTCGCGACTTCTGACCCCGACCGAGATTATGACATCAACAATCCTCCCTCCATCCCGGGCTCACCGAAGCTGGGAGGTGATATGAACTACGATGATGCGGTGGTCACGGGTGCAGACTTTGACTTTGCTCTCGCCAAAGCGATTGATAATCGCAATCAAGCGGGCTCCCGGCGCAATGACATGGTTATTGACGTGGAGGGTGGCTCGACTCAACCGAAGCCTTCTCCTCAGTCCCCCCCGTGTTCACCACGCCTTTCTCCTCACGAGGCTCTTCGTCGGCGCCGCACTGTCACATTACCAGTTGAGGAGGACGTTTGCTTTCCCATCGAAGAGGTCTCAGAGCTCGCCGAGGAGGATGCGCGGAGAACGTCCCGCGAGGACGGGCGGCGACGGCGGAGAACCAAGGAATGGCCGGATCTGTCTGTTCTGGAAGAATGGAGTCGCGAGGAGAAGGAGGAACGAACTGGTGTGCTTCGCGCCAAAAAGATCAGCGAACCCGTGCTGATTGAGGGTCGACTGAGACCCCAGTACCGAGTGTGGCGGCGCGAGGAAGATGAGGCGCCCTATCGATTCACTTATTTCAACGAGGAATTTCAGAGTACCATTCATGCCCAAAGCATATCCGAGCTGGTACAGCCTGGAGGTAGCTTCCGGGAGTTATTCATCCCTGATCCACCGGAACTGGAGGATTCGTCTGATGAGGAAGACTTTGAGGATGGAAACAATCACAGTGACCATTTCACCGACTCCAACCACAACGGCCAGGACAACGTCACGGCGGAAGTACCCAAGGCGGCGCAGTCCGGTGGAAACAATATGAACGCTGCCACTGGCCCAAAGACACAGCCTCGTATGTCCGTATTCAGCGAAGGCGTGTCTGAGGCACGCACATCAGTTGATGCCTCACCGGCGCGCAAGCTCTCACCACCGAAGCCTAAGAGATTTGGGCCTCGCCCGACCTTCTGGCTGGATGTTCTCTCCCCGACAGATACCGAAATGCGCGTGATTGCCAAGGCATTTGGGATCCACGCCCTGACGGCCGAGGATATCATGATGCAGGAGGCGCGTGAGAAGGTCGAGCTATTTCGAAACTACTACTTTGTCAACTACCGGACCTTTGAGCAGGACCCCAATAGCGACAATTACTTGCAGCCTGTGAACATGTACATCGTCGTGTTCCGGGAGGGGATTTTGAGCTTCCATTTCTCGCAGACGCCGCACCCGGCGAATGTTCGCCGGCGCATCCGTCAGTTGATGGATTATTTGATCCTCAGCTCCGATTGGATCTCGTATGCGCTGATTGATGACATCACGGATGTTTTTGGTCCACTGATCCAATCTATTGAGGACGAAGTGGACGAGATAGATGAGAAGATCATGAAGATGCACTCTCCTGGGCGGCCGATCGACTCCCGCGACAATAAAGACCATGACAACCACCGAGAGGATGAGGACGATGAGCCAGAACCACCGGCCCCCGGCGAGATGCTGCGACGCGTGGGAGAATGCCGTAAGAAAGTCATGGGGATGTACCGATTGCTGAGCAACAAGGCAGATGTTGTGAAGGGGTTTGCTAAGCGATGCAATGAGCATTGGGAAGTGGCGCCGAAATCCGAGATCGGGCTGTATTTGGGAGATATCCAAGATCACCTTTTGACTATGACCAGCAGCCTGACCTACTACGAGACGTGAGTTCTTCCCAGCGAGTGCATTGCCTCCCGGAGATGGGGCCAGCTAACCGGTCCTACAGGCTACTGTCACGAGCGCATTCGAACTATCTAGCCCAAATTAACATCTTGATGAATGAACGACAAGAGCAGACAGCAGATGTACTTGGGAAGCTTACCGTTCTCGGAACGATTGTGCTTCCCATGAACATCATCTGCGGTATGTGGGGGATGAACGTCAAGGTTCCCGGTCAAGACGTGGATAATTTGTGGTGGTTTTGGTCGAGTAAGGACTCCTTGCGTCACCCTTTCCTTTTCCTGGGGATTTATCAGACGGTCAGATGAACTGACACGGCCTTGAATAGTTACTGGAGGACTGATCTTCTTCGCGTTTGCGTCGTTCCTGATTGCAAAGCGCGTCTACAAGATTGTCTAGGTGTCGACGTTACGACCGGCTTGGCGCAGAGCTATGACGATGAAACATGATACCCCGAATGTGTATATTGTTCTCTAAAAAAGATATTCTGGTCGATATCACGGATTGCACATGTCACTGTTGGATAGATGGGTGGCGGTTTTCTGTGTTGATTTGTACTCTTGTCTGTATAGAAGGGTTGTCTGTTGTCTATTTGGTTCATGCTTGGAGAAATGGTTCCTTTATTCTCCACCTACCTGTTTCATATAGGTCTCCATAGTCAAACGGAAGGTGTATACAGATCAACAGATATAGTATTACCTACTCTGTGAGATCGGAATCTGTTCCACCAATATGGTCATCGTCCGTGGCTTTGTACCCCATCCTCTGCAGATCGTATGCTTGACTGGTTGAGATCTGGATCACTTGAGCATCAGCAACTCTGCACATGGTACCAATTCTTCGAAATTCCCTGGATTTGTCTTCATTGTAAGACTTCTGGAAAACTGGGCAGTCGGAGGGAGATGAGGTCATGATGACTGTTCGTAACATGTAATACCATCTTTCTGCCATAATTCGCCCTATTTTCTTGGGTAATATTACCTAACCGTGTCACATCATTGTAACAGCCCCCCAGGGGCTGGACCTCCCTTCCACTGCTTCTTGCTTCTCTATGGATGTTTGTGTCTCCTCTATTCTTGTTCCTCTCCGTCCGTCCGTCCTTTCATCTCATTGAGGCTCGTCATTATCGTCTTCGTCGCCTCTTTCATCATTGTCATCACTTGAATCCGTCTAACCTCCCTCTCTCAAGTCTGTCCCATTCTAAATCCCCTCAGACTGCTTCGTACTGGACCACACTCTCCTCGTCTCGTCCCCCATTCCGATCGGTGACACTGACGAAAGACGGGACCTTCGGCCTTTCCCACGCAGCCACGCTAGACTACCTTAGACTCCCTCTAGCCATTATTCCTTGACGTGGGCGGCTGCCATTGGATCTCGTCTCTTCCCTCCCCTGACTGGACGA